CTGTGCCAGAGAGAGGTCAAGCGTGAGATCCATTAATTTGGAACTAAAGGAACTTGACGCCGCCTCCAATGTCAGGTTGTCCCAGTCTACTGCAGGGAGTTGAAGTCACCAACAATGAGAACCTCCTGGTGGCTAGCAGCTTCCTTCACCAGACTAAGGAGCGTGTCGTCGGCTCCACTCAGAACGTTTGGTGGCAGGTATATGGCCAGAAATTCAAGGTTGTGTGAATTAGCCTTCTTGATCTTTAACCAGACGGATTCACACTCCAAGGCTTGAGTGTGTTCTCTTTCGACAACAGAGATTCCAGTTCTAACATACACAGCAACCCCACCACCTTGTCGGTTTTGGCGGTCTTTGCGGAACGGCTGGTATGCTGGAATCGAAATCTCCGAATCCGCGATTTCTGTTTTCAGCCATGTTTCCGTTATGGCAACTACATCAAGTTTCCGCTCAGAGAGTACTGCCTCGAGTTCATCAATTTTTGGGGGAAGACTTTAGGCATTAAAATACAGAAAGCTCAATTTAGACTTAGTCAACACGTTATGCAGGCATTTGCCTCTTGCGTGAGATTGCATGCAGGGAGCTGTCATGTTCTTAGCTTCACTCGATCTTGCCTCGGTCACATTTATTGCTGGTCGCGATGGCGAGATCCAGCCTTCATTGTGACGTATGTTGCCCACCCAAATGTCTTCTTCATCTCTATTATAATCCCGTCCTTGATTCTCAGTCCAGTCTTCCCCCTCTCCATCCTCTCCTTCATGTCCGTCCTCAGTTCCCTCAATTTCATTCTTTCTCTGGGACCGTAGTCTGGCTGAAAAAATATTGTTTTGTGCGAGTTTTTTTAGGGCCATTCTTCGTTTCATTAGAAGGGCTACCTGGGCGTTCTTCAAGACTACTTTAAGGGGTCTTGGGGATAAGCTTAAATCACGACTTGGCTCTTCTTTGCCAAGGCGGAATGTTTTCTGTACTGTAATGATCTCCCCATCCGGCAGGACGTCATCGACATGATCACTAATATGATTCATATCATGTATCCACCTTTCCTTTGGAGATTTTTCTGTGGACTCGGGAACACTCTTTATCACGATATTGCACTTCCGGTTTAAGGGCGAATATTTTAGTTTCCCATCTGTGCCTTTTTGTGTTAGGACAAATTCACTACCAGGTTCCGCGCTTACTGAAGCCCTCATGTCCGTTTCAATCTTCGAAGGTGCTCTTTTTGTTAGGATCGTGCTTAAGCTCGGCCCACTTATACTAATCGTGTGGCTTAATTTGTCTTTTTTTGGAGTCCGAGAGCGCTCCTTCGTTCTCTGAGAAGCCTGTGGGTTGACCGTTT